TTGATGAGACGATTCTAATGAATCCAAAATCGCTAAAATCCAATCACAGGATCTTGAGATCGTTAAGGTTTTTTGTATTATTTCGTATATAATAAAATTAATTTTATTATATACGAAATAATACAAAAAATCTTAACGATCTCAAGATCCTGTGATTGGATTTTAGCGATTTTGGATTCGTTAGAATCGTCACATCAAGACGAACATTTTGACAGTTAAATCATCCAAAACAGACTAGTAGATCAAAAGTTATTCAATTTTAAAAATATTAAGAAGTTTTTTATAATTAATTAAATCGGCCAATCAGAATCAAGCTAGGGTGATCACACCATACATGGATGGGGGTGGCTACTAAGTAAAAAATATCACATGATAAATGGCATGCTCCTTAACTATTGAATTATTTTTTCAAATATAAAAATTTATATTATATAATTAAATCATGTATATTAATAAATTGTGTAAATATACTTTTGGAGTTAAAATATTTGTATTTTAAATTATTTAATTATACTAAAGATATTCTTTTGAAAAATTAACCTTCAAAAATTTTTTCATTAAACACTATTTCAAAATTCTCATCTAATGAAGTTTTTATTTGATTATCCAAAACCTCTTCAAATCCATAAGGTTCACTATTATATATCTAACCAATAATAGCTTCTTTAGTATTATTAAAATAAAAACTTAAAGAAATTAAAAATAACATTTTTTTAAATAGCTAGTAGTTAAATCTGCTTATTAATAGGAATCCAAAGTGTTCAAAAAATAACAGAAATCTCTCATGAAATATTGAAAGGTGATAACTATCATCTGAAATAAATCGTGAAAATTGTCGTTGCTATTTAAATATCTTGACATTTCTACCCCAATTTGACTAATCTAGACCAAGACCTTTGACTGCCTAATTACCTATCAAATTAATTTGATTTACAAGGCTTCCAAGTTCTCTATTTAGTGCACGAGCTATATTCATGTTCCTACCAACAAATATTAATTCTTGGAATAAGCTCATTATCAGCAAGAAATTTTTGGATACAATTTTTTACAGCCATTGGTATTTCATATACATCTTATAAAGTAGCTGCCTATGTAAAGGCAATATGAGGTGCAGTTTGTAAAGTATAAGGCTTCATCAAAGTAGTACTCACAAATAGTTCTAGTTCGTTTATACCCTATTCTTTACAGATTTGATTTATCATTTCAGAATCCATAAAAAAGAGCTTTATTACAGATTTAATAAGTTAACATTTGTAAAATAACACAAATAAAATATTGTCATTATTTGACTTACTGACTTCCAAAATAAACAATATTGATAATAGAATGTGATTGATTTCTCCATATATAAACCATGATCAATGAGCACAACTTGATAATACTTATTTGATTTTGAGGGATGAGACCTAACTATAACATTTTCTGGATATGGATCAGCTAAAATCAAATAAGTAGAAATATTATGCATGTTAAATATTAAGCTGGCACAAAGATGCTATAATTTAAAAGAGTTATGTAGTCACCATGCACAAAATCTAAAAATATCAAAAAGTAATTAGCTACGATAAGTATATCTATAAAATATCTACTAGTCGAAAATGATAAAATTAGTATATGTTCATTCTGATTAAAATAAGATTAACTGGTTACTGGCTATTGTCAGCATCTTGTGAGCAACCTGTAAGTTCTGTCAATACTTGACTAGTTGGCTAACTAAATATTGACAGAATACCAATATGTATTTGGCACATTCAGCAGCCAATCAATATAATTTTTTAACTAAGTGAACTGATACTAATTTTTTTATTTTGACTAGAGATCATTCCTTTTGAACTTACCACTGACTAATATTTGGAAGGCTATATTTAATAATTAGAACAATGAAATTAAACCATATCTTCAAACTCAAGTCATTACAGTAGAAAAGACAAATAATTTAACAAACCAAAAATATCAATGACTGTTTTTATAACATTATTAAAACTGAATCCGTGCCTATAAATTGATTGATCGAATAATAAATCATTAAATTAATTTATATTGATTTAAAATGACTCACAAACCATTGTAATCCTTCCTGGTCCGTAATTTTTAAACTGTCTATCCATTCGGCAGTTAACACTCGCTTGCTTGTTTGATCTCAGAACACTTTAGGTATGTAAACCTTGTTACTCAATGATCCCTCCTTTTCAAATTCGATCTGTATCCTTTCAAAATTCTTCCTTCATTTTCAAAGTCAACTGTTTTTATTGCAATATTTTAATTTTAAGTTTTCATAGAACTTAATATTTATTTATCGAAAGTAAGAAAATATAACTAATAACAAACACTAATTAAATTTTGCCAATTTGCAATTACCTTCTTGTCTTAGATGTTTTTCTGTATAATCTGCAGACCACACAAGAGAAAGATCGAAAATGTATTTGTACATGTGCATCGCTTTATATACTAATAACTCCCAATCCTAAAAAATTGAAGTTATGAACAACAAATATAACAAATGTCTAATGATAGAATTGTAGGTATAGATAACCATTGCCGTCTTATATCTGGCTTCTGCACTTTGACCGCAACTATACATGCCACCGAAATAGGTTTTCAAAAAAACTCTATTTCGTCTCCATTAGAACAATTTAGAATTTTTTATATGCAAGAGCAAATCTAATTTAGGTAGTTATGTTCCTTATAATTTCGTCTTTTCAAAAAAAGTGTTAAAAAATTTCGTCTTTTAAGTAAAATAGGTCAAAAACAATTTCGTCTTCAAATTTTAATTTCATATTCCGAAACCCAAAATAATTTCGTCAGCATGTATAACTGCAACTGGTGTTCTATCTTTAAGTTTTGCGCGGTGAACTTGGATATGGACGAAGATAAATAATCTTAATCATTGCCAACATATAATATGAAAGTTTAATTTCATCAAACCTGAGCAATGCTCGCTGATACGATCGCTGTACGTTCAAAATCATCAAATATTTCATCAGGGTGACAATTAAAATCTTCTTTAAATACTTTGATTACGCGATCGAAATCAACTGCTGGGCTATAATGATGATTATGAATTGTTTATATGAAGAAAAATTTTGCTTTATAAAAATAAATTTTATAGGATTGAAATTTACGCATCATCATATAATTGTTTAAATGTCCTTTGATAGACTAAAACGCAAAATAATAATAGATTAATAAAGTAATTAAACAAATTACAACCCGATTTTCTAAAATTACCTGCTGGTAAAATTGTTGATTGTACTCCTATCGCTTGGCCTAATTTTATATATAGACCTCTATAAAACATTTAAATACAGGTTTAGGCTGGCAATGTTTACAGAACAAACTCTATTTACACGTACCCATTAGTTAGACAAACATTTAAAATTCTTTTTGCAACGCGCTCATGTAAGTCCTCAATTTTATCTTCTTTTCCTGGTCAAAAGTTTATTTTATAATCAAGTCTTATACAAATGCTAATAAAATAATTATTTCAGTAATGTATATTTAAAACAAAGAAATTAAATCATTTACCCATTCCACACTGTCAAGATATTTCTTTGCAAAGTCCTTGCGTTCTATTTATTGTCAACCAAATATACACCTCCTATGGCGCTAGCAATAAATGTAAGTCTGCAGACAAATAACAATATCGCAGGTGACATCAGTTTCAAAAAAAAAAAAAAAGAGGAAAAAGTGATATCTAAGCAAATTTGACAGGGCGTAGGATCGATTTTCCGGCCATGTGATTTTTCGAGGTCAATAGTCCTCAAACAAAAAGGCTCATTTATGTTGGGTTTGTGCGTAATACAGGGTTAGAAAAAAATGTATAGTAGTAAAATTGCACGAGGAATTTTTTTTATTAGAATCTCAAATGCTGTTTACTAATAAAAGTTTTGAGATAAACGTGATTTTTGCAAAGTGAACGTTTGTTTTGAATTTTTTTACGTTACACCAGATCCTGATTTCTAATTGGTCAATTGGTCTCGGAAAATCACGTGAACGGAAAATCGATCCTACGCCCTGATATAGTTATATCTAAGCGATCACCCTTTTATAAAACCTGACCAATCATTTACATCATTTAGTTTACATGGCGACAATAAACCCTTTAATCGAGACTTTCAGACTGGGCAAAATATTGCAACTTTCTGTACCTTCTGACGAAAACGTCCAGAACACTTATGAAAGAGTTTTGCACCAATGGCAAAGTTGCTTGAGTGCACGCGTTGTACAGTTGATTTTACCAACAGAATGCAATGAAACCGTTATTGGTAGTGATATATCTCTCGGAAACGTAATTTGTAAAAACGGTTTACTTCAACAAGAAGCGATGAATAGCGTTTGGGAAAGTACGTATGAATCTCGGGGTATCTATACTTTATCAAAGTTTGCCAAATTTACATATTTTCTTTATCTGTAAGAACCGTTTGACACTTCAGAGGCGGAGGCTTTCGACAAAGCGTCGCCTAAAATCAAACTTGTTGCAATAAAGGTTGCACAATTCATTGATTCTAACATATCAACAGCTAATGATTTTTTTGACTTATATATCGAAGAGTTGAAATGGTGCGGTTATAGTCATGTATGAAGTAATAATTAATTAAAGTGAAATTATCGGTTAAATGTCATCACGACAAAAACTTTTATGTTTATAGATATTCGCCAAATGCATAGATTTATATCATAAACAAGATTTTTTCACATTACTTCTTTTTGAGATTTCATCTTTAGAGAGAATATTGGGTGATGTATGTGATTTGTCATTTAATGGTTTAAATCAAACGCGTGTCTATAACTTTTCTATTATTTAGATAATATATTCCATTCATAATGACACATTTATGATTCCATCTCTTATCCGTGATCTTCTTATTGCTCCACCACTTGTTCCCCTGTTAGGAGAAGACGTTATTTTCTTTCTACGTTGTTTAATTGGGCCTCCAAATTCAATGAATTTGAGAAATATTCTTTGGCATGGGTTTGTTAGTCCTAACGAATTTTTACCTATTCCCGCTAAATGGTATTCCGCCCTCATTATGGTAGTCACTCTAACTGTTTGTCACAGAGTAAGGCTTCGTGGTTTGATAGAATCATTAAAGAAAAGGAATGTTGCAAGTTTTGAAGGTTTTTTTCATTTATCTCGACCCAACATTATTGCGGAAAATATTATTACTAGTGATGAAATTAATAAAATTTTTGATCAAGAATACGAACGCGTCATGTTTAGTCAAAGTTCGTATTTATAAAGCTATTTTTTTTTTTTCTGGGTTTAATTATTATTATTTTTTTTTTTTTTAACATTAGTTCTGAACAATTAATAGCAGTACCACCCCAATACCCACATTCTCATATATTAAAAAACTTACTTTATAAGAATTTTTTCATAATTTATCAAACACATTCAACATGGCTTCATGCGCTTAATTTTTTAACTTATAATCAAGTAATTCTTTTTCTAATTCTTTCACTTCCCCTTTTTGAACATTGTTTGCGCAGAATTTTTGTTTGTGTGAATGGAGTGCAAGAACATCGGCTAGGTACTGTGGAAGTTGGTCAATATTTTTTAACTTTGGACATTATCTTGGAAGAAAAAGTTGCCTGGGCATATTATGGTCTAGAAAAAGAAATTAAGGACGAGGTGCCTAGAAATCAGATTTATGAAGAGTTTGGGGGTGGTATTATGGTACGTAGCTAATCTGTTTATCGTTATTCATGTTCAATAAACTCATAATTAACTGATTTTATAATAAAAAAAGGATCTTATGCTTGATCTTTTTGTTTATAACGCTGGTCCTAGGTTAAGGGATCGTATAGCACACGGAGAGGCGAACTGCCTCGTCACGTCCACAGACTCTAATCCATTATATGAATATTATATTTGTCTTTTGATCATTTTATGGAGCAGATATAAATCCAAAGTACTCATTGAGCAAGTTGATGTGATCGGGATTGATGATCCGCAATTTGTTATGAATGATGAAATATTACAAAATTATGAGAATTGGATATCCAACTATAATTCTAGATTTCACCCTATCCCCTTACTCTGGAGAGAGAGCACTCGGTTGATAACTATTACTTGGAATTGCTGGAAAATTGCCCAAATAATAGAACAAAAGGGCAGATTTACATTAGGCGATTGGACAGAACTAATGTTTAAAGAACAGGAAGATAGTTTATTTCAGCAAAGCGTTCTCAAGTCGATTGCAAAAATGGAAACTATGGTAGATGTTTTACATCTATCCAGAGAAAAGTTAGATGCAATAAAAGTAAGGTGGTTTTGCAATAACAAAGAGTTTCATTGGAACCGTATAAGTATTACAAAAGAATATTTAAAAGTGATAAATCTAAAGCGTGTGGTAATCAAGAAGGCTATCTCTGGTGCTGAGAAAGTAAGCTCATTATTCATTCTCAATCATACATCTATTAAAATGTTATTAAATCTTATTATTTTATATACACTACTGTTATACATAATAAAACCATGAAAAGCTTTGTGACATTCTTAGGATCCTACATTCTTCACCTTCTCTTTCTTCACGTAAACGCAAAAACACACAGAATCTCTTTACTCTATTTCCATTAATCATGCAACATCTATATTATTCGTTGTTTAGTCTTGACTATGCCAATGAACAAAAATTTATATTAGGTATATTAATATTCATTGAAAGATGGCGTAGCTTTTGTGCAGAAGGAGAATGGAAGAAAATAAATGAGGCATTTGATGAACTCATTAAACATTTCTCTTGTATTAATTCCTAATTAGATATTAACCATAAAATACATTCACAGTTTATATTTTAAAGTTTTTTTGGGGAATAATTGATCCTCAAGCCCTCATTTCTAACCTTTTAGTTTTTTTAGGAATTGCACTTAGAGTATATAGTTACTAGGTAAGTGGAGACCATTTTAAGTCCGAAAAACCAACACAATTCGTAGATGATTCCGATATGGTTACACAATTGATAAATATTTTTTTTAGTTATATATGAGTGTCGCTAAAAGAAAACCCGAAAATTTAAATATAAATTTTCGGGTTTTCTTTTAACTACACTTATATACAATAGCGATAAGAATTTATTTAAAAAAATTAGGGTCACGTCCTGTGTTACGTGACCCTAATTAAATAGATTTTGGTGGTAGGTTTTGGTGATTGATAAAAAAAATAAAAAAAAAATGCATTTAAAAAACAAAAAAAATATTTTATAGAAAATTTTTGATCAACAAAAAAAAAATAAAAAAAAAAGATTGGATAAAAAATAAGTACCTTATAATTCTGGCCAAAAGATTGATATCCGGTCCTGAGGTTAAATATTTATCCAGTTTTTTTAATAGTAAATACTTAGGCGGCAGAATTCTGACTTTTTACACTATATAATTCTGGCCAAAAGATCGGCATCCAGCCCAAAAAATTGTCAACTTTTTACTTAGTAAACTGCTATCTAATTAAATATTAGTACTAAAATTATAAATTATTATAATCGACAAAAGTGAGTTTTTTCGAAATTATGGTTTTTTAAATAATAATATGGTTATAGAAATCTATAATCGCAAATCGATTTTTGATTAACCAATAAAGTCATATAACAATAATGATAAAAAAAATTTTATATAATAGTAACAATTATACATGCTAACGAAATTATTTTGGGGTCTAATACCCGAAATTAAAATTTGAAGACGAAATTGTTTTTGACCTATTTTACTTAAAAGATAAAAATTTTTAACACTTTTTTTGAAGAAACGAAATTATAAGAAATATAACTACCTAATTTAGATTTACTCTTGCATATAAAAAATTCTAATTTGCTCTAATAGAAATGAAATAGGGTTTTTTTGAAAACCTATTTTGGTGGCATATATAGTAACAATAAACAGATTTTTTTTTTAATAATATAAACTTTATATCAAAATTATATCAGTTATTTTATTTAAAATATTGAGAATATTACATTTTCAAAGTATCTAGATCTATTAATTTTTAATATTTTAGATAAATAGTGATGAGATATTTTTTGATAGCTTATTTAGCAATTCTACTTTCTAAACCTTTATTATAAGCATCCATATACCTTTAGAATTTGCAAATAAACTTGTAAATTTTTGTTACAAGAATATTAACAAAAGTTTTTGAAATTAATTGTAATAAGTTAGTATAATTATAAGTATATAGTTTTCTTGTTTTTCATTATATACCCCAATTAGAGATAAGTGAATACAAAATTTTCATTTTAGAATGGGATCTTCTTTAGTATAGGTGGCTATATATAAATTATTACAAGACTATAATATATAAAACTTAATTAATTTGAGTCAATTTAAATTCTAACCTTAACTCTGACTTTAACAATTTATAAAATTACTTAAATTAGTTTAAAATAGTTACTTTTTATATATTATAATTATATAATAATTATATATGTCTACCTATACTAAAAATCAACCTTAGTGTATACATGTATATATATGCATGTTATGATTTAATTTCTTAATACTGGTCAGAATTAATTGTATACTTATATATCATGTATACCATTACCTATCTTTAACCCAATACTTTTCTATATTTTAATTCAGCAGTTCTGTCTATTACTCTTTATTTGAAAGTACCAGAACTTATATTAACAAAAAGATACAATTTTCTATACTATATCTTATGCAAGTAAAGATCAACTTAAGTTAAACTTAGAGAACAACCTACCTAGCAGCAATTGGCTTCACATTGGATCCTCAACTTTCTGAGGATATGAACCCTTTGATTCTTAGCTCTAGTAGCTGCATCACTTCATCAAAAGAGCCAAATTAACAAAAATACAAACACAAAAGAAAAATAAAACAAAGGTAAAGAGAATACAATAAATATACAAACAAGAAGAAAAAAAGAGGATAAGGAAGTATTGAAAAAAACAAAAAAAAAAAAATTTGTCTATTTTAATGATCACTATTATAAGCCTGTGAAAGACTTGTAAAAATTATATATTACTAAATAAAATAGTCTCTACTCTAAATTTATTTTATTTTATTTTATTTTTTTTTTTCTACTTAGGCCATCTTGCCTTTAGTCTCTTTTATTACTTTATGTTTGTTGGTATACATACGGCTTAGAGCATAATATTGAGGAGTAACATCTTGCAGTTACTTCAAAAGCACTTACAAGCGATCGGCCACACTGAGCAGACATATCCCTATGAATATATCTCGATAGGTTTCAAAAAAGAAACACTATCTCTCTCAGAGAGGGCTCTATCAAACTACCACCCTACAATAGGATATCACCAATTTGATGACATCTTCTCGTAGAAAAGTAGAAAAAAAAAAAAATTTACTAACACTAATACTAAACTAAAAAGGGAATACTAAAAAAAAAAACTAATACTAAAAAACAAATATAAAAACAAAAGGTGGAGATAAAAAAAAAAAGGAATCTGATAGATCACGATTATAGGCCTGTGTTAGGCCTTAAAAATTACATATTAATAGGTAAAGATGCTCTGTATCTAACTCTATTCTAATAATATATATATAAGTGTAAAATACATAAAAACCACATCAGCTAAACAAGACAGAGTAGCCCAAATAAGGAAGTCTCAAAGTATTGTTTAACGGTTTTTCCAGTTCGAGGCATGTATACTATTATGTTGTCTAATGGTTCGTACGGTTGCTTATTCTAGACGTCCGCCCGATATCTCGTTTTGGTAATCCTATTTACAGACTTATATAAACAGGTAAACAATACTGACTGTTTTGGTAAATTACATGTTGATCTTTAGGAGGGGGTAAGCTGAGACGCCCATTTTTTGGACAAAAATTTTCTTGAAAAAAAGTGGTGGGTCAACGAAACTTTTTTGTGGTTGTTCCTTTTAAGTTTTACGGTTGTATAGAGATATCCAAAGCTATAATACTTCTGGTATCATCCTAGACGCTTTGTGTTTCCAAAATATCCTTCTGGTTTGAATGCCAAATAAAAGTAAAGGAGTTCACTAAACAAAAAGCTTGACCTTTACTAAAACTAGTCCAAAGTAGACCACACCTCGGTTTTACACTCTTGGTACTTCGTCGACAACATACCTACTTCTGTAGAACCAAGTTTATTATTTACTTTAGTA